CAATTATCACAACCTTCAAGACGATGTAATCAAGATGAAGATCTTAAAGAATATATATATATATATATATATATATATATATATTAAATAGATGGTAAGATATAACGTGTTTGATATTACAACCTTGGAAGAGGCTTCTAATGTTTGGTGATTTTATTAGAAGTACAAATCACTCCTCATAGTATTTCAATTTTTTTATTTAAATGGAGTTATGAAAGCCTCAACAACAATCAAATAATATGGTAGTATCCTATTCTAGTATGGAATAATATTAATGCCTGAGATGATCTATCAACCATCTTCAAAGAAAACAAAGATTAGAATATGTGAGAAATACAATTTGCCACATCTTGGATTTCCTCAATATATGATGCTTGCTTCTCATGGAACACATTTGTAGAAGAAGGAATAATATTAAAATTATATATATATATATATATATATATTCCAATAATTATTTATATAATTAAGTAGAAGTAGGTAAAAGTAAATTATTATATAATTATATAATTTTTTATAGAAAAGCTTCTTAAAAACTTGATAGATGTGACTTTGACTTTACTTGTATTTGTAGTTAATTGATAGATTAAAAATTAATAAATTAGCCATGTGTCATACATGTTGGTAGCTTATGGAATAAGCTAACTATATGACATACATATAGAAAAATTGTCTTACAAGTTAAGACATGTGTCTTACAAAGTCAACACATATTAGGAATCTTAGAAAACCTCGCCATATAGCTCTTAGTTACATAATATATATAGAAGCAAGCTTGAAACCTTCTTCACTATTGTCAACACTTTTCTTATTCTTAGTCTAGTTTCAAAAATCTATATTCTTTTTGTCTTTGATAATAGAAATTTTAGTTTAATATTATATTATCTTTTAGTAGTTCTTTAGTCTTTTGAGTAATACAAGGATATATTCATCTTTATTATTTATTATTGTATTAAATAGATATATTTATATATTATAATAATATATTTATAAAATATTATATTGTACTAAATTAATTGATAAAAAATATTAATATTAAATATATTATAAAAAATTACTACAAATTCTAAAAATAATATTTTATAAATAATTAAAATTTTAAATATTACATGTGTTAAAATATATGTAAAAAATATAAATATAAAAATATTGGTAAATTATTGTAATTGGTATTTTTTGAATATATATATGTATATATATATATATATTTATATAATTTTCTTTAATTATTTTCATTAATTCATTTTATTTTTTATTTTTTATTTTTTAAAAATATTTTTTAAAAAAAATCTATCATGATAAATTTATTTCATATATATATATATATATATATATATATATATATATATCTATTATAAAAGACATCTTGGATATGAATTAAAGAAACAAAGAAGCATTTTGATTGGTTGTTTAGAAGGAAACTTTAAGAAATTGGAAAATGCATAATAATTGATACCTTAAGTATCTTCAAGAACTAAGTTGTTGAGACCTAATAATGGCTTTTTTATCTATCAAACTAATCAATGCTAAGATGTAAAGTGTTACGCTTGCTTCTCTTTGCATCCACCATTGTACTTTGTTTTAAGTTAAAATCCATCATCCTCCCTTTCTTGCAAGTTTTGAAGCCATTTTTGCATTAAATTAGAAGATTGCATTTGCAGACATGATAGATCTATATGGATTAGAAAAACATGTATATATATAGGATTTGAGGCAATTAGTACAAGTTAAATGACATGTATTAATAATCAAAAGTTTGGTGGTTATGATATATTGGTAGTTCAATGAATGTAGAGTGGAGGTTGTAAATCTCTAATCATTATATTTTATTTACTATTTTAATTCTATTTATTTATTTATTTATTTGCTTTATTCATGTATGTGAGTGCCATTGCTGCTCATAAGGTTCACCTTTGTCAAGACTTATTTTATTATTTTTGTAGCTCTATATTGATTTTGATTTGTAAATTGGTGATCAAATTAGTTTTAGAGTCGGTGCCTACAAAGTCTATTCTTTCAAGTCCTCTAAGTGCCAAATGATTGCCTTGCATGCATACTTTAAAGCCAATTAGAAACCCCTACATGGATTGCTACTAACATGTATTGCTACTAACATGGATTGCTACTGAAAATAATGAAGACAAAAACATCACAATAATGTAGTTTATTCCAAAGTTTTTTTTTTTTTTTTTTTTTTTTTTTTTAACGTAGCTATTTAAGTTGTTTTAGTATATAAAAATTATGTTTGCCAATTACACAAAAGAAACATAAATGGTTCTATTGTTATGCATTTCTTCTTTTTCTTTTCAAAAAAATTAAATAAATCTTGGTCAATATTTCTTTAGGAGTCATCAATTTTTGACTTAGCAACCACAAATTAAACTTTTGCAGCTTTTTGTGGCCAACAACATGGATTATCACTAATATATATATATATATATATATATGGATGTGTGTGTGTATATATATATATATATATATATATATACATATATATTAGACAATAAACTTGTTGTGTTATCTACGAAAGCTCATTGATGTAATGTATCAAGTGATTGTAATAAATATTTTGATAAATTATAATAATGTTGTACATGAATATACATATACCCACTTTTTCATGCAAAGGTTTTTAATTTTTACATGCAAGAGGCCTTCAAAGCAGCACCAGCTTGTTTGACCAATGGCTTCAATGGGTTTTCCACACTTCAGTGGTCCCAAATGAGCACCACCCCCTGCAAAATCATTCACCCATAGTGTAGTGTAAGTTCCAGTGCCTGCTTAGCATAGGCGACCATTTACAAATGTAACATGCCTATCCTCCCATTAACTGTACATCATGGTCAGAGCCTGATCCCAACGGTGGTCAAAGGAATCCCAGATTTTGTCCCTGTCTGAGAAAGAATTGTAAAAAATTGCATCGTTAAGAGAATAATTCGGTTACTTCGCATCATATCAAGTATACCCATATTTTACTCCAGCCTCTATTAGATATGCCTCACAATCATTCAATGATAACAAAAAAGACCCGAGAAATTCTCACTGTTACTCAGGCATGTAATAAAAGGCAGCAACAACAAATGACTCATGTTCACAACACACCCATGTGCCCCACTGCCAAACAATGGCCGCCACTACGACAGATCCGCCTGGAATCGCTAGGAGCCCGCACGACGTACCTGGCCAGAATCGCATCAATATCGCACGACAAATTCCGGCTGAAATTGTCTCCCCGATGGAGTACAGCAAGAGGGCAATCCAATCGAAGTTTCCTACGGCGTGTCCGAGACCTGGACACGCCTCGAGATGGGGGTTCAGGCAACGCATCAGCGGTGAAGCAGCGAGTGGCTTCGGTAATATACCGCGGGGAAGACGACGAGCAGCCGCTGATGCTGAACGCTGCCGCGCACATCGCCGCTGCCGCCGTTTCAGCGTCACTGCGGAGTGAACAGAAGAGCACATTACGCTGCGCTTCGGGTTGCGTCGTGCTCCCTGCGTTTGGTGATCGCAGAGACACACAACACGAATTCCTCTGGAGACTGGATACCATTATTCAATTGCAGGTTTAATCGACGCTGTGTCACTGCACTTTCTGTGCTGATGGCCATAACGATGTGGCATGAAATCTGGATTTGGGAGTGAGTAGTGTGTGCGCTGCTGCGGCTGCTGCAACTGTAGTGATTTGGCACATGCGGATTTGATGAATTGCTTCACAAGGCAGTACTAGATTCCATCCGAACCCGCTTCATTCGTACTCATGACGTATTTACTATCTTTAAGCGCTGCCAGATTAGGTTTGTCGTCAGGATACAGTCATAGCGGGATAAGGGGGTCGGGTATTGGGTACTTTTAAAGTATCGAGGTTGATACTTCGAAGATATCGAGGACAAAAGAGCAGAAGCAGAAAAACGAGGTGGGTTTGAAACAGTTACGTCGACATTTGACAAAAAAGTAACTTCTGGGTGAGCTTTTTCCGGTGAGAGTCATGAGATGTGAAAAAATGCTTGGATATAAATATATTTTTTTACAGGGGGGTGGAGAATGTGAGTGATGTCAGATTCGGCCAGTTGTGGTGTATGATCCAATCGCTGGACGTCCCAATTTTATTGGGTCTGCATTAACCTCCAGAAATTGTTCCTCGAAGGTGGACAGGCTGACAACCATCTTCGATATTCACGCGCAGTGCCTGATTACGATGAACACAGGCAGTTTGGATTTTTTCATCGGGTGTTGGATGGGCAACTAATCTCGCATGACCGTGACGAAATCGCTAACAAATTTGTAAATAAAGAATTTTGGTTGAGATTAGCAAAATCAAAACCAGGGTTTAGTCACGTGAGGATGGAGAATATCACCCAGCTCACCCACAGCTCGTCGAGTAGAATTTTACTTCTGCGCTGTAGATCTAATTTTACTGTTGCACATAGATTTTCTTTTTGTATATATTTTTTTTATTCATTTTGTTATCGAGGTGCTCCCCACTCGGCGAAATGTCATAAGATTTCTACCAAGGGCTTTTGCTTTCGGATGCCTACCAGGGAGAATTTTTATTTAGGTTTATATTCGTTAGCCTGCAGCAAATTAAATTCTCGCTGATCCGTGCAAATTCGGAAGAGATAAGATGCGTGACGTTGAGGACCTGAGGGGTTGGGTTTGTAAGGTCCGTGGCATCTGTCAGTCGAGGCATATGTCGATATGAAATGTTTTACGGATGTGTGGTATTTCCAGCTCATCGCTGTCGGATATCAACGTCGAGGTCCGCTCAGGTTAATTGCCAGTTGCAGGGCTTCTAATCGCGGCCGCGCGAGTGGTGAACCGCGCCTCGAGGGGCACTTTTTCCTCAGGGATTTTTTTTTTTTTTTTTTTTTTTTTTTTGTCGCTATAGCAACTCTGGCAATTGGGTTTTTTTAATTTTGTTCCTGACCTTGGTGCGTGGAGCGCGTGTGATCGAAGGATCACACTGAATCGTCCTTAGCCCTTCTCCTCAAGCATGTACCGGAAAGACGAGTTAGAAGAGTTTGATTGTCGCAACACCCTCAGCCTTGCACGTGGACCAGACCCAGAAGGTGGTGGGGAATCTGGGATGCAGTTCTGTCCGTGTGTCAATTCAAAAGTAGGATTCGAACTTGCGCTTGGTGGGGTGTTGCAGTCACCAATTTGGTCTTAAGGTCGTTTTTATTTGCACCCCTTTCTTTTTGTAGTTTGTGTAATTTCCAATTTTCATTTTCTCTTTTTCATTTCGAGGTTTTTTGTGAACGCGGCAGCTGAAGACTACAGCATCCTAAGTTTGAGGATAAGCGGAAACTAACCTATCCTTTACAGCTTTGCTCCCATGCGCTTAAAGAACTAAGAATTTCTGGAATTGTCGAGAAGTTATTGTTTCATGAGCCCGAAAACGTGTTCTCGCCTTGCCTGAGTCGATCATTCTTTTCCCCCTTGACGTGCAGTGTCGTATGTCTGTTGTCATCGTCGGAACGAGCAAGAACAACGTCCGCAGTCCTGTTGAAGTAAGTTGCGTTGATTTCTTTTGCGGTGCTTTTGTGGGAGGTGATGAGGACGAGCTTGTGCATTTGGGAGGTTTGGGTTTCTCTGGGTTTGGACCTTGTGAAGCTCTCGTGTGTTTTGTAGTTTACTTTTTCCTTCAACAACCCCCCCCCCCCCCCTTATTTTTTGGTGCTTCAAGGTCTAGCAAAGATAGCGACGAATTTCGAATTTCGATCCTCCACAGTGCATGTGATCCTTCTATGTTATAGTTTTGTGGATTCTCTTGTTGGGTGCGTGAAGGATGCGTGCAGCCTGACCGAGACTTTGCAAGGCACACCACAATTGGAAGAAGCTTAGTCCCACCTTAAAGCTATCTGAACACTTTTTGCAGATATCTTGTTGCAAGCTCTCCGTGAGAAGCTACATTGACAGCATAGTGATTTTTTGTTGAAAATGCTTCGGCTGCGTGATGCGTGGCTTTTGACTGCCCTTCTGCTTTTGGGAAGCGCGATTTCTGTGCACTGCCTGGATCATGTCCAACCTGAAGAGACCTCGGCGACTAGCCACGAATACCTCGTCGCAAGTTTAGGGTCTTACGTACACAAGTCTTTAGAAGCCTGGGAAAGGGTGAGGCCATACGTTTTCGGTGGGTTGGGAGACGATGTTAAGCCATCGGAATGGCCCGAGCTTAAGCCAGGATGGCGAGTGAATTCTGCTGTAATTCTCTTGTTCATTGGAGCTGCGATATGCAGCGCTGGTGGGATCGGTGGCGGTGGATTGTTCATTCCCGTCTTCAACTTGCTGCTGTTATTTGACCCTAAAACCTCTGCTGCATTGTCCAACTTCGTCATATTAGGGGGCTCCGTGGCCAACTTGATATGGAACCTGCCGCAGCGACACCCATCACTTCCCCACAAGTCGGCAATCGATTACGATGTGGCTCTGATTCTGCAGCCGAACATGCTGCTGGGTATTAGCATCGGCGTGATTTGCAACGTAATGTTTCCGGGGTGGTTGATTATCGTCCAGCTTGCGCTGATTCTGGGCTTCATCACCACGCGGAGCTGGAAGAACGGAATAAAGCGGTGGAGGATCGAGTCCCAATTGGCTGCTCTGAAGAGTGAGAACGGCGAGGATACGATGGAAAGAGGAGAGGAAGGCGCTGAGAAGCAGAACCTCATCAGGGCACTTTCAGGTACTCAGCTCCATCTCTCTCCTTTGTGCCTCAAGTTTACCATTATTTACGACAGCATTATTATAAAATTTGTTCGAAAATGTGTATTAACTGTTTCAGTGCCGTACCCACATGCGTATGCAGCTGAGGAAGCCAATGCAGAATCTGAGGGGCCACTGGAATCAGACAATTTGCATGCACCGTTACTGGCTCCGGTGAAGACTCCCTTGGAGCCGTCTTGTTTGGGGAGCAAAGTCATGTGTCTTGGACTTGTGTGGGTGGCGTTTTTTGTAATTCAATTGCTTCGAGGCGGCAAAACAACTGAGGTATAAGAGGTTTTTCTTTGCCAACCATATTCTCTGCGATCTTTGTCTGGTTTTAACTGTTCGAAAATCATATGTAGTTGTTTGTCATGCGCTTGACTGAAGATTTGCATCCTTCTCAGGGTATTTTGCCTCTGAAGAGCTGTGGCGTCGGATACTGGCTGCTGACATTGACGCAGATACCATTGGCGTGTTTCGTCACGCTGTGGACAGCTTTCCGGCACACTCAGTGCTCCTCCGATAAACAGGTGAGCATCGATCAATGAATCTTTGTGCTTGGAATCAACCAAACACCCTCCTCAATCATCAATGGTTCTGTCACAGTATTTCCTTAGTTACCGGCTGTGTGAAGTCAAAAGTCCACCTCATGGTTTTTGAATCCTCTTGTCTAACCAAAACGGGGAACTTCCAAGTTTCATTGCAAACCGTCTGATGCTGTAAATAATACTCAGAACATGAAATGGGATGTGTGCCGGGACAGGACCAAGGAGAAATAACCAGACACCGCGCTTTGACGGTATTCCCAGGCATGGCGTTGGTGGCGGGCTTGTGGGGGGGCATGTTGGGCATTGGTGGTGGCATGTTCATGAATCCACTTCTCATCGAAGCAGGAGTGCATGTACAGGTAGCCACTTCGAACACACGCAATACTCTTTTCTTCCTGTCTTTTGTGTTCAGAGCTTTGAGCAGCCTTTTTTCTGATTCAACCCCAGTTCGAAGTTGCTAAACCATTGGGGGCTGCATGTGGAATTCGCCAGGTTACAGCCGCAACGACTGCATTCATGGTATTCTTTTCGTCATCGCTATCCGTTGTAGAGTTTTGGCTCCTGGGACGCATCCCCGTAGACTTTGCAATCGTCTTCTCGTCGATCTGCTTCGTGGCATCCCTGATTGGACTGACCGTGGTGCATCATGCCATTTCCAAGTACGGGCGAGCTTCCATCATCGTTTTCTCAGTGGCCATCGCCCTGGGCATTAGTGCTGTCATGATGGCAGGCTTTGGGAGCCTGAATGTGTACAGGCAGTACAAAGATGGGGCCTACATGGGCTTCCACACACCATGTTGATAACCAAAGCCTCCTTATCTTAGACGCGTCTGAAGCCTCACCAGCTGATCACTGAAATCAGTTGCTGTCTTTCAACATACCGTTGGAGAGCTTCAACGCTTTGAGCCATCACCGTGGTAATATCTCATTACCGAGTCACTTTTCGAAAAGTGAGGGATATGTTCTCAACTATATTACTCTGACGAACCCAGGTTCTTCATTGCTCCATTGTTGGAGTGTTTTGTCTCTGCAATAACTGATTGACGATTAGCTCAATGAGTATCATTTCCTACGCTTGCCAGGAAATGACTGGCGGCCGGTGGACATTGATTGCTGAATGTTAACATAATTATTAACATGTGTAGCTGTTCTCATTAAACTTAGTAGGATCCATTCTGTACTCTGAGCAGGTAATTTGTCCTCTTACATTAAATACAGTATGCACTTGCAACAAATAAAAGTAAGATAAACTATTTGCCAATCAAACATGATTTTCATGACTTTGAAAATAATTATTATGATCCTAATATAACAATAGGATTAATTTTTTCTATTGTATATTATTTGAATATGCAAGATCATATGAAGTTTCTTAAGATCAAAATATTTACAAGCTTTGTAAATTTTATAGATTTTTTATACAATATAAGTGTGATTATAGAATATTAATACATCATAACATCTTGACATTGTCATTATTATTACTATTTATTTCAAATACTAAAAATGTCTCCACTAAGATATGGCAAGCTACCAAAATCTAGAGTATGATGTAGCATACGAAAAAAAAAAATGCTTTGTGGATAGCTACAAGTGTTTGTCTACAGAATGTGTGCACATGGCCTACTAAATACACGCTTGGGGTACATGAGATTTGATACTGTAGAACTTATAATAATTAGAATAAAAGACCCACTTGAGACCATTTATTCTATCCATGGCACATTTTTTTGATATGCCATAAGTAGTGAAGCTTCTAGTAAGATTTAATATAATAATCTTGTGCACATAAAAAATTTAAATTTAATTATTGGAAAAATAATTAAAATTAAAATTATTTTGCAATCTACATGTGTAAATAGAAAAAAGGACAAGAAAGATGTTAGGGTTTTATTAAGAAAATTTTAAAATAGTATAAATATACATCTTCTAAATTGATGAAAAAATTCTTAAAAAAGAATTTAAATTTTGGAGCATATACTTTTCGTAAAAAAATATATAAACTTACTATTTGATTAATCTGTTTTTGAGGTAAAATAATAACATTTTTGGAACTAGTTCTAAAAAGATTATATATATATATATATATATATATATATATATTAAAATTTTATAGAAATATTGATTTAAAATTATGATAAAGTAAAATTAAATATGTGATGCATTATAATTTATATGGAAAGAATATAATTTTAAATTGAATTTATTAAGTGCTTAAGATAATAATAATAAATATATTTTTTAATTTTTTATATTTAAGAGTCAAAAAAAGTTAGTTTGATTTACAAAAAATATTATTTTATTAATATAATTTTTACAAAACAAACCAAAAATAATAAATAAATTAACAAGATTATAAATGTAAATGTATATATGTAACTTTGAAATAAAGAATTGATTTTATTACAGAATTTTTAGTTGTGCGAAATTTTTTTATGTTAACTCTTGTTCCAACTTTATCTAAAGTATATGAAAAAAAATTACAGCGAATTATCTTATAACCAAAAATTGAAAGTTGAAAACTCAAAATAAAAATGATTTAACAGGAGTTCAATTCTAAAAACACAATGTGATTTATTTATATAATTGGCCAATAAATAGATAATACCAGAATGTTTATTATTTCTATATGTATATACATTTCTATATTGTATTTTAAAGTCAAATTTGACATACATTCTTCTCAAACTAGCATCAATTTTATGTTAAATTATTGCACATATTTACATTTTAAAATGAAATAAGTAAATTTTACAAGCTATCAAATGTGACATTACATTTTTATATATTAAAAACTTACGTCATTTAGAATTCAAAATCCTTTAAAAAAATCAATATCTTAATATATTTCTTAGTTAAACAATAAAATGCTTAATTTTACTCTTTCCATGATTAGATACTAATTAAAAAATCTATTAAAAAATAGAAAAAAAAGGAAGTAAAGAAACTCCTTACATAAAAAAAAGTGTATGCATCACCAAATACACACACCAAAACAATAACAATATTAATAATAATGTTTTAAGCTTATAGAAATGACAAAGATGGCAACTAAGAGCAACAACACAGAAAAAATTCTTTTAAAAACACCAGATATTCACACAAACACAATTCTCTTCTAGCTTAATACAATAAAATAGGTAAACAACAAACCAACATTCAGACAAACACAACTCTTTTTAAACATATTATTGTATAACAACTAAGCAACCTAAACAACTAAACATCAACTGAGCAACATTTACAAAACCTACATACACGCTTGCACGGCAATTCCACTACCAAAACATAGTAGCACAAAAACAGATCCAATTCCCAATTCCCTTTCATGTTTTCTTTTCTGTTTCCAAAACCCTTAAATGAATCAATTGACACTCCGAAGAAACAGTAATATGTGGCAAATATCTCATAAATTAAATAGGCTGGAAGAGGCTTTCCAAATCCCCTCCAAAATGGGGCCCCCACACATGATCGGGACCGGCACTAGAACTGTCGGTATTCACGTGATCAATTGGGTTCCAACTCCGACGCTACCAGCACACACGTGATCGATCTGTTCCTCATGGCTAGGCTACCGACACGCACGTTCACGAATGCGGATTCGGTAAAATTTGTTACAAGGGGGGATGGGGGGCAGTGAAAGGGAGAGGGATACGCGTCGGTGGAGCCGGCAATTGAGGCATTCCGCGGCGCGGCATCGGCAATTAGCTGCCTGTTGTATGGTACACAAACCCCAGGCGGGGGGGAGGGAGGGGAAATCGTTTGATTCTACTAGCTTAATCTAAAACCTAGATCTCCGGCTATCGCTGCTGGAAGTTCAAGTGCTTGATGGCGAAGGCGAACACTACCGCGAACAAAACGGTGAATACCACGGGCATGGCCACCACTAGGCCCAGCAAGTCGCGATCGAAGCCCAGTTTCGTTTTGAGGAAATCCCTCATGGGCACGTAGTTCTCCGGAAGATCTGCCGCGCCGACTGGCAGAACCGTTGAGTTGGAGTCGCCGAACTGCGTGAGAATCTCACCGTATAGTGTCCACGCCGTGGGACAGATCCAGTAGTACCACGACCACCACTTGGGAATATCCTGCACATTCGTCAGAGGGTGTGTCAGATATGGATTTTCTCAGATCGTTTTGCATGGAACCGTTCTCGGACGAGGTCATAGTAGCAACTGTGAATGTGAGACGTAAGGAGATGGGTGTGTAAAGCGAAAGGTGGCTTACCGGCTTGAAGATCACGAATCCGGAGAAGAGGTTGAAGACGGAGTAGAACCCGGAGGCCATGATGGCGGCGACTTGGTGGTTGGGGGTGAGGGAGACGGCCATCATACCGTAGTATGTGAAGTAGAGGAGGGTGAAGAACATGACGTAGGTGTACCAGAAGAACTTTAGCACTCCCCATTCGAAGTTGATCATGGAGAAGGTGATCACGGCGTAGAGCAGGGTTTGAATGAAGCAGTAAGGTATCTCGATCAGCACCTGCAGCACGGCAATTGTGAAATAGGGTTAGCGCAGGGTGCTTCAACTCGAAACATGTGACAATGCTGCTCACGGATATGTCTGGGCCGAGTTTGAGCGTCGGCAAGGTGCGCGTGTAGATAGATTACCTGGGCGATGGCGTATGGAAACGCGGAGTACATTCCTGCGGCTCGCTCACGGTAGAAAATGGTCCGCTCGATTGCTACAACAGGTTGCACTCCAGAGGCATTGTTCACTCCAATGAACAACGTGGCACCATAAATCGACCCCATGACACTCAATAGGTTCACGGCACTGCTCGTTTTCCTGCCCATGTTCCAGAAGATGGAACCGAAGAGGATTGCCGAGATTATGGCGAAAAGAAACCGAGCCATGTTGTAGGCCGGGCTGCGCCAGTAAGTCACCCATTGCTTCCAGAAGCAAGCTCGCACTTGCTCGAAAAAGGGCTGGGAGTATTGTGTTGGGTAGTATAGGTCCTCGGTCTCGGGTTCCGGAGTGGCAAGTTGCTTCACCAGAGCCACGTTTCTCTGGCACAGAGAAGATTTTCTGTAAACATCAGCGAAGTCGATGCCGAGTTGAGTCTCGACAGCAACGCTGCTGGCTTCAAGCATCCAAGTCGCGGGGTTGACGCCATCCTTGATCTTTTGAACACCAGGAATCGCCTGGAAGTAGTCCACAAGTATGCGGGACTGACGTCCCAAAGGCCCCATGTAGATTGTTTGTCCACCACGCTTCAACAGCAACATCTCATCGAAAGCTTCGAAGATGTCGATGCTGGGTTGATGGATGGTGCAGACCACAGTACGCCCGGTGTCGACAGTGTTGCGCACAGTACGCATCACAATGGCGGCAGCACGTGCGTCAAGGCCACTAGTGGGCTCGTCCATGAAGATTATCGAGGGGTTTGCGACCAATTCGACTGCAATCGTGAGTCGCTTTCGTTGTTCCGTAGATAGACCAGAAACGCCCGGCAGCCCCACCAGAGCGCCTTCCAAGGGCGACAGCTCCACGAGATCCATGACTTCATCTACAAATTGCTCTCGAGTCTCCATGCTGATGTCGCCGGGCAACCGCAACCACGCTGAGTACACGAGCGACTCTCGCACCGTCATTTGTGGAGAATGAATATCGTTTTGCTCACAATACCCTGCAATTCGAGCGAATGTTTCTTGGTTCTTCTTATATCCGGAGATTCTGACATCACCTTCGATGTAGCCGCCTGTTTTCCTTCCAGCAAGCACATCCATGAGAGTAGTCTTTCCCGCACCACTTACACCCACGAGCGCTGTCAAAACTCCTGGTCTGAAAGCCCCAGTGATTCCATGCAAGAGTTGCAGCCTGTTATCGTCTGTCTGGCCCTTCATCTCCGCAGGCATGTTGACGAAATACTTGACGTCTTCAAAGGAAATTGACAGTGGTCGAAACGGTAATATCATGCCCTTCTTCACTCCCTGCGGGCTTGCGTTCAATGCATCGCCCTCTATCGAGAAGGTATCAAGATCGACAGTTTGCATTTCGGTTCTCGACATGCTTTTGCCGTCAGAAGCAAACGGATTCTCTGTTTGTTTATGCCAGTCCAATAACATGTTAGGACCAATACTGAATTACTTCACCAGGAACGTGTGATGGTCATCAGAATGCAGGATTCTCAGTGCAAGGATCAGGGTGTTAGGGCTTTGACTTACGTTTCCCTTTAGCTCTGCGATGCTTGCTACGGCGTCGGGACTTGCTCCTGTACCGATCTGAGAGTAACGGTTCCGTGCCCATGAGGTTTGCTTGCTTCTCTACCAACGCGTCCTCTGAAATCGTGGCTTGTGACTTCCCAAGTGCTGCGATCGGAAATCAACACTAGAATCATTATCCAAGTAATCAAATATACTCAACAAAACTGATTCTAAAGGCTCCTGAGCCAAGAATGTAACGCAGGTATGAGGAGGAATGCGTAATAGACAGTGAACTTACGGCTCAAGTACGAAAGAGTGACGGTGTACAGAATGTTGAAGATGAGGATGGTGGCCACCAAGGCAGCCACTGAAACCCAGTAGTAGTAGTTGTGCGCAATCATCCCCCTGTCCGCGAGAATCGACTCTCCAAATGTCTGCGTTGTGCCGTTCACGATTCTGCTCCAACGTGGCGCCAGAAATTCGTTGATACACAGCGCGCTCTGAGCGTAATTGAGAGGAGAGATCCAGTAACCCCATATCCACCAGGGGTGAATTTCAGGACGAGGTAGAATGAACCCTCCCAACATGAAGACGATGAGCAGGAGGAAAGTGCCGCCCGTGGCAGCCAGCACCATGGTGCGAAAAATCCCGGCAATCATGCGAAACATGGCGCCTGCCATTTGGTGCACGAGAAATAGAATCAGATAGTACTTGAAAAACCTGTCACCTCCGGGAGCGTAGCCAATTTCGTAGTACGTGAGGATGGAGTAGATTCCAGCCTCTGCAACCGAAGACGGCAAACTCAACGTCAAGCTCGGCAAGGCATACGCCCATGCGGGGAAAAAGAGGAGGTCCCGTTGTTTGTAAAATACCGGAAGACGATCCAATGTTAGAGAGAGCTCGGCGTAGCCATTGAACATGATGATCACAATGCCGAAGAAGATAGCGCCCATGTACTGGAGCGCGTCTTCCTCCGTGTTTTGATTCAATGTCGTCCTGAAGAACACCGACATCGAAATCAACCCCACGATTCCGACCTGAATTGTCTTAAAGACGTACACAAATGAGTTGCGCTTCATGAGCAGCCATTCTTTGGCAAAGTTCGCCTTGAAGAGCTCGTAGCGGCCGACGGGGTATTTCTCGAATGCGAGAGCTGCTTTGTGGCTGTTACGTTTGTCGTAAGGGACGGCAAGCTCGTGCGCCAACTTCTGCCCGACATGGAACGTCTTGAAAAGGTCCGCGAATTGCTTCACGGAAACGAATCTGTAGGGGCGGCGCTTGTCATACCAGTATTGCTCCTGATCCTTGATCGACGTCACCTCTTGTAAGAAATCCGCGATACCCTTCCGCTCCGGACACTGGAACCCACAACCCTCGAAGAACTCCAGGACATGATCGCGAGGCCCGTGGTAGACAACTTGCCCCTCGGACAATAGTACCACGTCGTCGAAGAGCTCGAAGGTCTCTGGAGCAGGCTGCAGCAGTGACAAGAAAATCGTAGACTGCATCACATGACACAATTGACGCAGACATTTCACGATTTGGTAGGTCGTGGAGCTGTCAAGACCGGTGGAGATTTCGTCCATGAACAGCGCGTCAGTTGGTCCTACAATCATCTCGCCTGTAGTCACACGCTTCTTCTGGCCACCCGAAATCCCCCGATGCATGTTGTCGCCGACCATCGTGTTGGCACAGATGTCCAACCCCAAAATCTTCATGATATAGTCGGTGACGAGGCTGTGTTCTTGGCCCTCGACTGCAATTGCCTTCATGTACACATCCACGTCTTGTTCTGGAAAGATCCCTGCTTCTTTCTCTCGCCTAGCTAACTCCACAAGCATATCTGCACACAAAAATGTTGCAGTTCATCACGACGTTGAGACCGTTGAAGGAACCACGCACTTTTGGAGCCCAGAGATATCGATCACGAAACACTTCCATAGCTTTGGAGGTTTAAGGTTTTACCATATCGGGTGCCGACGCCCTGGCAGCGGGCCGAGAAGTCGAGCGTCTCGCGAACGGTCATTTCACCCACATGGAGATCGTTTTGGCTGATGTAAACGGCAGTTTTCTGCGGCACAAATTCATCAAGTGTGTGCCCATTATAGGTGATTTTCCCCTTCACTTTCAAATCCGGGTCAAGCTTTCCTGCGAGCGCTAAAAGCAAGGTTGTCTTTCCCGACCCTGGAGGGCCGAGAAGCAAGGTCATTCTAGCTGGTTTAATAACGCCACTGATGCCGTTGAGAATGTTGAGCGTCGTCTTCTTGCTTTTCACAAGCCTTGTTGCTTCAAGTACTCCCTGGAACCATCAACAATGGACAGTGATGAGTGTGTGTACAACAGGGATAATGTGATGGTCACAACTACCACCATGGCGGGCGGTCAGAATTGTATTAAGATTCGACAAAAGAAGGTGGATCAAGAGCACACCTGAAGAAAGTTGAGCGTGGAATTCTTCAGTGTTGGCAGAGCGCGTCCCCCGACGAAGCACGATGCATCCACGGACAATCTCTCATATCTCACCTCAATGGTGGGCAGCTTGATGCCCACCTTGTCTATGCGGGCGCGCAGCTTCTTAAGAAATCTCTCATTGTCCTCCTCCGTGACCTTAAGGAGGTTATCGATGATCTGCTGCCGCTCAACGAAGCCCATGCGCCGGACATCGACCTCCTCGTGGACGATCCTGCTTCCAAGCTGCTTCTGTAGAATTGTGGTGTGCAGCCGGTCCATGGTGGGCAGCTTCTCCAGAGCCGCCCATTTGAGAGCTTCTTCATCGTCGGCTTCATCGCGTCTTGAAAGAGCTGAATTCCGCCCAAATACATTGTCGGGCCCGATGCCCCAGTTTCTAGAGGAGCCCCCCCGGAAGGACCTCCCCGACCTCCTGCTACCCCAAAAGTCTTGAATACTATCCAGCGGGGCTGAAGCCGCCATGGTGTGATTGTTTGCCTCTCAGCTCCAAGGCATCAAGCTATACCCCCAAAAAATTCCAAGGTTGATAATTTCTTCCGGTTCGTTTGCTGCGTAAGAGACGCGGTCATCTTGTTAGCGAGTAGTATAACAGTATCTTTGAGAAACTTTCGAGCAACGAGTTGCAAATCTAGACCGTAGCTCAACAGCAAGCGTGTCTACGTCTTTTGATGGTTAGGGATGAAGGGAGATTGAAGTGTTGCCTAGCGGTGGAAAGACTCAAAGAATACGTAAACCCACAATTCTAGTGCATGCACACACAAATTGTAGAAGCTTGTATGGGCGGGTTGTGAATAACTGATCAATCGAGGCGCTCTTTCAGCCTCCGAACCAGACAACGAAATCGAAGTCGATGCGCTACAGTGAAGAAGGAACGATCGTCAAGTTCTTAGCGCGTGAACAAGAAAAACGTGTTTATGTGCGTAAAATGTTTTGAAGAATGATTCTAGTGTCATCGCAAAGCATTACTCGACAATCTCTCGCTGCGGTGTCTTGGCTAAGACCGAAGTCACTCAATCTCGTAGAAGAAAAGTCCAAACGCCATCCTCACCCCAAGCCGGCTGAAAATTAACAAGCCATGCGAGCTCCATCTGCTAACTTACCGACGAAGACTTTTTCAATCTAACCAAGGACGAATGCCCCTGCTTTTGTTTTTTGACCCACAACCCGACGAATTGCTATGCGTTTGAAGATCGACAACTACTCCAAATCCTGTACTCGTCTACCAAGAACATCGAGCAGAAAAGTATTTGAGAGACCACCCACCTGTGAGAGAGTGAACTGTTCCTCTCCAGCTGATCTCAGAGAGAGGCAATCTGACTACGAACACAACGCCAAATCCAAGCCTCCAGGTAGCGAAATTCCGCTACCCTAGCAGCTTAATCGCAAAACCGGAACGGATGTGCACAATCTCGATCGCAACCCAATTTACAAAACCGAAAATACCACACTACTCTGGGTCGACAGCATCTGCATGAACAAGAAGATGGAGACGATGATAGTTTATACGAGACTCTTAGAACAGACCACTTTAGTCTACTGCCGCGTCTCTTTTCTCGATTTTGGACCCTGATTCGCAGTTGATGTTTCTACGATCAGGTCCCGGGATCATCAGCGTGAGCTTGCTGTTCATAGTCCTATCCCCGACCCAAACTGATAAATATTCCGAAATTGTCATCGAACATGCGGATGTCTAAAAAATTCAGGTTGTACCCACTATTCCACGCTTCCGGCTTCAACCCAGTAGGTACCTGCCTCAATTGGCCGCTTGTAGATGAAAGAAAAAGTAAAACAAAACACGCTGTTCTTCTTCGCAGACGAAAACATGCAGTTCATTTGAACAAACCCTCCACATTTTGGATGATACAGTACCGGGCTGTGTGATACTTCTACTGTGCCCGGGCTCGCTGGTCAATAATTTGGTCGTCGTCTCCGCGGCACCGTTGAAAAGCTTTGAAAAGCGTGCCTCGCTCGCTCCTTCTCTTGCCTTAATCATTACCCACCAAAAATATTGCCCAAATCATACACTGGCTGTAATAGTTAAATCCTTGGTAAATAAAAATTAGTAGTCCAAGGCTGTGGGTAGTACAATTTTTGTTGCGTACGAATTAATAGGAACACAGCGAAGCATATAACTTTATTTCGAAATCACACATTCGACGCTTGGGTCTTGTTTTAAAGCTTGTTTTGTTGGTGGGTTTCGAATCAGGATTCTCAAGAGTGATGGAACTGCTTTTTATCCACGTGTCTGTATTTTATTTTATTTTTGGGTGAGAATTTGGAAGTCTCTCTGCTGATAGGGCAAGACAAATTGTACGTGGGTGAAGGAATACCTTGTCAGGGTATGCAATGTTTGAACACGAGGGTTTTATCATTGAGGCAACAACGCTCCGATTAGGAAGGGTTGAACAACCAACTAATAAGAAACAATACAGACTCATTGATTGCGATGTTGCGGAATTATCACCGCTTTGCCGCGAGGTTTGCGAGGTAACAAACTCACATGCGGGAAATCCAGGCGATGATGCAGGGTGTCTAAACTCAGAAGGGTTGACTAAATAGGCGAGGCAGATGAGCGGGGGATGAAACACTTGACCCGCAGTGGCACAGCCCCCGTTCAACTCTCGTAGACTAATGATCCTCACTTTCATGAAGAAAGTCGTCGCTCGTTTCAACCCGCTTGTGAGAAAGGTTGAGAATCAGTCCAAGCTTCGGTCAACAAAAGAGAACAAAAAAGCATGTCCTCGGGTGGAGCTGTTCATGACGCCTGGCCGCTTCGCCTCCACCTTGCAGAACCCATAAGGTTTCCACCCACAGTGGCGAGTTTACGTTATCGCAATAAAACCCACCAAATGAGCGGGATTATTGATTGGTGCGTGAGTGATTGCCCGATGGCCCCACTTTTCAGAGGAATCAGTCAGAAGTCCCACGTCGATTCCTATCCCGCAGGGCTCACCGTCGCACCTCACCCTCCCGCTTCACCGCAACCCCAGTTCTACAAAGGCTGGAGCCAGAGTTCGACCGCAGCTTTTGACAGTTATGGAGAATTTCAACACACTCCGATTGCACTTTCTACTTGAAAAATCAAGACAGAAAAATTGTTTCCGCAGCGCAACAGGGTCCCTGTGACACAGTTTCTGTCGAGCAAGGCCTCGCTAGCAGCCGCTGACCCGCGTCCTTAACGCTGCTGCTGCCGCTGCTACCTCGCGGTAGAGATAGTGGTGGAGGCGGCGGCGGCGGCGGGAATTGATGCTTCCGTCATGCAAACGTTAACCTGACTAAATGTGTGTTTTCAATGCAATAGGGAGTACTCATGTACATTTCTTTTGTGAAAAACCATGTGCTAAGCTTCACAAGTTGTTCATACACGTTTTTGAATAATTTTTTATAATAATACAAATACAATAGCCATCATTGTGTGTGTATAAAAAATATATTAATGACATATGAGTAATAGTGTTAAATATATAAGGACCAAAAATTTGTAAAATAAAAAATGATTTTAAAAATGGTTTAATAAGATTTTAAGGGTCTGTAAGGTATTGTAAAAGGAACTAAAAACATGAATAAAATAAATATATTTAATTTGTGACAGGATTGGATCTAAGAATAGAAACAATTTAATATTTAAAATGCTCAAAGATTTGTTTTTACAAGTCTAGAGTGTTTTTATTTTTGTCTTTTGTTTATACTATGGCATACATGACTTGCAAAAACTTTCAAAGAACATCCTAAGTATGAAGCATTATAGAAGTTTGGTTTATTTTATATAGTGACTTTTTAGAAACTACAAAAGATTGAAGAATATTTTTTAAAAACTATAGAAAGTTCCAAATGAATATTAGTACAACAAAGTCTATATTAGTTTTTATAAAAAGTATATCAAAGTCTCTACAAGGTTCTCAAAGCGATAGTATGTTAAATGTTTGTAAAAAGTCCTAACAATAACCAAATCTCATATTGACTTATATTAAATATATATTTTTTAAATCAAAAATTTGTAAACTTTTGTTTTAAAATAAATAAATTTAATATCAATTAACCAATGTTAAATATAATATATATACTTTATTCTTGCCTATAATTTTAAAAGAAAAATTATTTAACCAAGTCCATGTTTGATAATATAGGATCAAAGAAAAATATTATGATGAAAAAAAATCTATAAGAAGTGTGATGATGGATTTTAGTACAAACTATTAAACTTATATATATATATATATATATATATATATATATATATATAATTGAATAGTTTTATAATTTTTAGAAAATAAAATTTATACCATTTAATACCATTTTTTTTTTATTATACATATGCACACACTCTTACTAATATAATTAAGAAAATTTTATTTAATAAATAAATAAATTGTATATGTATTTAATGGGAAAACACACAGTATGATTCTAGTAAAAATTAATCAATTAACTTACACATGTATTATTTAATTTTATACTATCTAAAATATTTTTTATGATGCATGAGTTAAATTATCTAAATTAAAAATAGATTATTAAGATGATTTATTGCAACTGAATATAGTTCCAATTTGAATTATTTCATAGTCAATTCTATTGAGGAGCAAACCTTAAAACTATCTAAGTGCTATTAATCAAATATTGAGTGCTTTCATAAAAGTTTAAAAAATCAAAATAATCAAACTCTATACTTACAAAATTACCAGACTGATTTTTTTTAAAAAAAATTCCCAAATGTTTAAAGTATAAAACTTAAAAAAAAAAAAAAATCTAACAATCTTTTTATCAATCTATATTTAAAATTATTTCTTTCTATTTATTATTATTATTTTAATTGCAAACTTAAAATTTCTACTCAATATGCTTTAGATAATTACAAACTCAAAAAAAAATCTTTAATGAGGTATGCATGCATGCATATATATATATATATATATATATATATATATAAAATATCATATGAATTTAATATTAGTAATTGTTTTCATTGGTTTAAAAAAATGGTTAGTTAACAATTTCTATTATTAGATTTTAATCAACATTAACAATTAAACATATATTTATTTCCTTTCTTCGTTTGTTTTATTATTATTATTATTCTTATTATTATTATTATTATTTATGTTTATATATGTTTAATTTGAATGAAATAAATATGAAATTTATATAAGAAAATTTGAATCAGAATTTTCCTATATATTTATAAGTATTCAATTAAAGTTTAAGATATCAAAAAATAATGGTTTCAGTCTAGTTAGTTATTCAAATATCACCTAAATATATAAAAAGGTACTAAATCTTAGTTTTCTTTGACATTTGGAGGATATTCAATTAAGATTTTCTAAGACATTTAGGAGATATTTAATTGGGGTTTTCTTAGGTACTTGGGAGATATTATATTGATATTTTTTTGGATATTCAGTAGACATTAAATTAGGACTATCTTAGACAATTGAAAGATATTAAATTAGGATTTTTTAGGTATTGAAGAAAAATAAAATTAATTTTCTTCTCTAAGTATTTGGAAAATATTAAACCAAGATTTGCTTGGGCATTCACAAACCTCTTCAAAAGTAAGATATTTCATCAAAATATAAGACACTATTATACTTAATTGTCCTTATAACATAAGACAATTCACTTCTAATTGTCCTTTTTGTCTAGGATGGCAGCAAATAGTTAGTAGTTTAAAAAGCAAAGCCGCTCATCATGTGCAACTCTAAGAGCATAAGCACCCATTGGCACCAAAAGGAATGGCTGGCAAGTAGATGCCGTGGTTGTATGGTTCACTTATTGAAACAACCCTAGCATGGTCTTCACGCATCAGGGAGGGTGGGCAGCAATAGCCATGCTCGGCATCCACTTGCTTGCTCCACACCAGCTTTTCAGGGCCTCCACTCCCAACACCTTCCTCCCTCCCTCCCCTGTAGGATACAAAGAGAGAAACGCGGCTTCTACCGACTACTCTGCCCTGTGGCTAGTAGAAGCTAGACTTGGCGCAAGTTACCTGCTTCATACTAGCTCTACCAAGGCGCCATTCTAAGCCCCGGCCCAAGCAGGAGAGAGCTGCTTTTAGGCCCATGTGCCAAGGAAATGGTCCACTCTACTGGGGCCGTGCATTAAAAGGGCATGGACATTCAGAAAATATTGAATTGGAGTGTTTTTTTGAGTATTTGGAAGATATTAGATTTGGGAATTTCTTTAGCACATAAAAACACGGGATTAGGGTTTGCCTGAGCAGACGACGCACATGGGAAAGCGGGTTCTAGTTTTGGAAGTCGCGACGAGTGCGGCGGCGGCGACGACGCGGTTGACGGAGCACAGTGTTTGCGGGGTCACGAATATCGCATTGCAGCGCTGTGCAGTGTTGTGGGGCGGGGCGAGGCACTCCCTTCGAGGTTTCTCCATCGCTTTGACTGGGATTCCTTGGACGCTGCCGAATTGCTTCTCCATCTCTCTGCGTCCAAGGCCGCCAAGGAAGGGCTGACTCTGTACCCAGCCAGCACTCACCTGTTGCGGCGTCTCTGTGCAGGGTTCGATTGCATCGGAGCTACTTTTCTCGCATTTCAGAATCTCCTGCCCAACACTACCGCTCTTTGAAGATGACGCTGCTGACCTTGACCTCGTCTTCGTAATCCTCGCGAGCTGAGTTTGCTGTGGGTGAATTGAGTGGGAGAGTACTGAGCACCTGTCGTCGTGAAGCATGAATCTGCGTGTGACTATGGTCCTGCGGAAGATGCGACCTCCAGTTGGGTAAGGAGTAAAGTCAATGGGCTATATCTGGGAGCTCTGAAATTATAATGCAGTATAGTTTCTAAGAACTGAAGTTTGCTCTGCGAGAAATGCTCCCTCCTTTGATGGCGATGCCTTCTCCCTTACAGCAAAAATATGATGTCTAGAAAGGTTTGTTTTTCGATTGCTTATCAGGTTCTCACCAATTATGTGGTAAGATTCGGAAACTTTGGGATGTGGCTGCGAAGTGGTGTTTTTTCGATATGATAATTACCACCACGGTATCATATCGAAATATCAGAAACACCTCGAGATTCACGTTTTTTCGATATGATAAGAAACGGTAGGCATTCAAGGATGTGGGACGTTGCATGAAGGAATCTGGTGTCTGATCGAGCTGAAGGATGAGGAGCGGCGATTTGTTTGACGGGATGAAGGGCTCGTGAAGAGCGTGGCAGAATGAGTAATCACCCGATCAGTCTCCGAGAGGATTGCGGGGTTTGTATGTACTTATAGTTGCTCCTCGCGGCTGCATTAATTCGACATTCTACGAGACTACAGTTAAGGACCTTAGGATTTAGGAAAAGTAAGACGAATAGCTTATGCATTGTACATCATTTCGTCTGGAGATCAGAGCTCAACTATGTCAAGGCTTCAACAACTACGATACAGCGTACCCTGAAAATACCAATTGGTGATATATCATAAACATCCCCTGAAAATGAAAACAATTTTGCACAAATGAAAATGTTCGAAGTTTTGTGAACCAATCTACACGCTATGGCAACAATCTCAGTTTGCCATTCTTCTTCCCTGAAAGATCCACGAACGACATCTGCTCGCCTTCGAGGTTCGGTCGCTCTATTGAAGAAGGGCGAAATACACAACAAAAAATCATCCGCCTCAACACCTACGCCTCTCAGCTAGGAGTTTAGGAGCTTTAAGCCGAAGCTTACCAGGTACCGTATCGAATCAAACGAGCATGTCCATGGCGAAAGACGACCGAATCCATGGCGTGGGCTCCATGGCAGGCTTGCAAAAGGTTTCTGTCGGCGCTTCTGTACCACAACTCTGAACAGTTTGCATGAAAGGCTAACAAACGAAGTCTCTCTTACCAGTTGAACAATTTTCATAAAGCAGACTCGGGGAGAGAAAGCTTTGAACACAAGTTGCAGTTGACGTTTGATTCTGCATCGATTGAAACACGGTGGCCCTGCAAACCATTGGAGGCTGAGACCATCACTAGTTGCACAAGGTGTGCGCCATAGCTTCCTCCCCCTTCCCTTACGGCATGACCACACATGGGTACCATTTCGCCACTGTTTCTTTTCCTTTTTTTTTTTCTTTTCTTCTAACTAGCAGGTGCAATGGAATCAGCACCCATGTGGATATGCTCAGTAACATCACGCAGTTTGTCCATTCTGCCAGCAACTAGTAGCTGGAATGGCTCCCTGCAGTGGCATGCATGCTTGGCAGAATTCTGGCAAGTTCCTTCAGCAAATCCTGCAAGAAAGTCACAGGAAGAGTGCATCGAAAAACACAACTCACCCTCCAGTGCGGGTTTTCTTATTGCAAATCTCGCATGAAGCATCTGCATTCCCAATTATGGTGATCCTCCAGGTTCTGGTCACAGATCGGAAGGCAAAGGTTTAGCAATTTTGTGTAGGAATTCTTCTTTTCTGTTCACTCAATCTGTTGCTGTGTGAGTGTGAATGTGGGTTTAATTTGTTTTGTGGATTGGAATGTGTGCAATACAATGTCTGTGTTTGTACTCTCTGAGTGGATATGCTTTATTCCAGAGTTACTGAAATGCCAGTGTTTCATAATTGTGGAGTAAATGTGTCGTGATTTGGAAAAGAAATCAGAGCCTCTGATTTTTATTGAATATGAGGACCTGTACTTCTTGGTAGTCATGTATTTTTATTACTGTTTAAAAAAAATTATTAAGCAATTTGGAGTAGATTTTTTGCACGATTTACAAACAATGCCACGAAAAACCTTGGTTTAAAAAGGTAAAGATGGTATTTGAACTGTGACTACGTGTATAACGTATAGCGTTACAATCAGATGAAAGAAAGAAAAGAAAAAGAAAAGATAAAAAAAAAAATGAGGTAAGTATTTCATTGAGGTTATAATTTAAGTCCTCCAAGTATATTCATAGTTCTTTATAAACTGGAAATAAATATTCTTGTCCCGTATTGATTAAATTGATTAATAGTTACTCACTACAAACCATTGAAACTGAATAAAAGAAAAAACGAAAAGATGATCCAGTAACACCTAAAATTTACTAAAAATTAAAAACCTACAACAGTATAATTATATTTATTTTCGGCACAATTTACGCAAATTATTTAAACTAAATTTAGAATGGTGTTTAACTGTCTTTAAGCCAAAACATGTTTTAAATTGTATTTTTTTCTAGGAAATTTATCACACAATAACATAGAACTACTGCAGATGAATAGTACTTCAAAATCACCTAACTGCGATATAGATGTCAAGGCCTCGACAAGCCAAACATCAATTATTTCCTCCCTAAAAGCAATCACAACACAGCATCAAGAGATAAAAATGTAGTGAATAACCTTGTTCTCACAGAGACAAGTGTTTAAAATGACCAGGCAAATAGCATAATTGTACAGAAAAGCAACATGTCTAGATGCCAACGGCAATGGTAGTGTATTCTCACAGTACAAGGTTGGAAAGACTGCTGAAATGTAACCTGCACTGCAAGAAGACTACTAAATTCTACACCCGAATTTTATGTACTGAAGTCCCTTTTGGACCATAAGAGATAAAAACCCAGCGTATGGGATTGATACACACTGCTCTCACACCTGTTCATGGGTATTCTTCGTCGATAGTGATGAGAGACCATAGGTCACATGTCTGTTGACTGCAGAAACAGATTTTTTATGGACAAAATGAGGTAGTCAAGTTAAGACAAGTCAATTACAAAAAGCTCTACTCTTCCTCTGGAGCTTCAGCAGCTTCTTCCTCGTCTTGGAGGAGATTTTCCCGGTTATCGTGTGCCCAAAACCCGCGCACATCTGTAAGCATGCTGGCTATAGTGCCTCCTTGTCGACAAGCCAGCAAGTCGGCCAGAGTTATCCTCAAGGGATCGGTAGGCTTCACCATATCCCAGATTTCGTCCCGCACATCTTCAATGCATAGGTCATAATTTCCACCTTCAATCCATTTCTGGTGAACATCTCTACAGAACAGGTACACAAAATTCACAGAAGATAACAATTGATTATTGTCAGATCAATCTGCAAGTGAGAAACTGAGAAATTACTTAACTTGGAAGGCATTTGTCTAGACCATGAAGAAAGGAAGTAAGAACTTTCACAGTACTTGCATTGCACCATTTAGTGCAACACTAAATTTCTGAAATAGCGACTTTTAGGAGCTCCTTTGATTAGCAAAAGCTGAATTTAACCGCTTCAAGAGGGAGAGTTTATATACATGACCCGGAATCAAACATTTGAGTTTGAATCTTTTCAATGTCTGGAAGTAATGAGGCTTGCAAACTCTAACTCCGGGAATGCAAGCAGGAAATTTCCAGTGGTTACAGTGTTTTAGGAAGAGAGTATCGAGTAGCCAACATGGCTCGAAAGTTGCCACTCTTCTTTTCTTCCACATGAGTGTGTTCTTATTGATACTACAACAAATGTCACCAAAAGATGAGTCATAATTTCATTGACTTATTCACATGTCTTCTGGGATGGTGAGAACAGACCTGAAGAGAGTGTGAACGTCAACTGTCGTCAAAAAGCCTCGATTCTGAAGATCCAAGCACTTGAACAAGTATGTCAAACCTTCTGGAGTTTCCCTATTCTCCAGGGCCAAAACAAAGTCGAGAAAGCTCTCAAAATCCATCTCTCGAGCTTTGCCCCCACTTCCTCGACCGCCCCTTCTCACATGTTCATCAAACACTGTAAACAACCCAACTGTCAGGATAAACCTATAATTTTTCCAATGAACATCCGAATGCATTACGGCATGCTTGCCTAAAAGAAATTGTTTTGATAATAACTGACGGAATCTGACATTACAACGTAAAGAGCGTCTGATACAGCGAACTGATGTAAAATCTTCATGTATTATCCAATATTATTGCAGTAAATTTAACGTAGATGACCATAATCAAACCTGAGAACTATGCGGGTTTGCAGTAAAAATATTACATACCACGCTCAATGAAGATGTCAGTCAAGGTGCCATCAGCATATGCTTGAAGTTCTTCCTTGCTTAATGTTCCATTCATGTCCTTATCCAGCCCCAGAAATGTATCTGCATCAAATCGTTCAAAAACAGGAAATACCGTTAAACTTATAAGTCTTGCATAAATCGTGACTACATCCTTTTGATAATAGAATCACACATTCAAAAACATCCTGCAAAAATTGCAATCTTTTCGAAAACTATTATTACAGATCAAGTAGGTGCAAAGCAGCTGCAAGAGAATGGTTTATAAAGTATATACCGCAGATGCGTTGGGCACTGCTAAGAGAAAACCAGTTATCAGCAGGCTCAGGTTCCCCACCTTCCTCCTCTGTTTCCTGAAATATAGCCGACCATTCATTTTGTTAGCCCCAGGTTAAAGATTCCAGAAATCACCACCTGATGTGCCGACTCTTCCAAGTTTGCACACCAGGGCCAGAACTATAAACAGATACATTAAACATCATGACAAGGACTCCTAAATTTGAGCTCCAAGTAAAAGACCACCAACATCGCATATCATATAAAACATTGTACGTACTAAACATTCCGTCAATAATCACGAACTCAGCACACTTGCCATCAGCTAGGCAAGATGACAGGAAAAACTTGTTAGCGTAATGGGGGTATCATAAAAATGCGGGCTTCAGACCAAGCTGAGTTCTCGTAGAAAATGTACCTGATGAAGTTCCATAAGTTCTGCTAGACAATTGCTGAGTAAAACTTTCTTGATGCATAACTTACCTGCGCAATTTACCAAGTTAGAATTATACTGACAAAATCTGGATGGGTATGCTAGTACTGTCTTAGGCAGTACATTCGACAATCCTTGTCGTTTTAATCCGAAGATTTGCCAAGCTTACAAACCAGTTGCCTCAGAAAGCAGAGCCTACAAGATATCGTTGGAGTGCTAGCCCAACTATCCTATAGTGAATCAAATAAGAATCAGGTGTGGTGGGCTGAAAAACTGGAACCGTCTAGTACGTAAGTATTCAAGATGACATACACTAGCCCGGCGTGCAAATAATTCCGTCATATACTGTAATTTTCTGAGGAAAAACAAACCTCGTCGCAATGGATCACAAAAGAAGTAGAACTTTCGAGCAGCAATCCTACTGTACATAGACAGAAAAGGAGGAGGGATGCTGCGTAGTTGAGCCAGGTTTGGAATAAGTCCTCTTATGTAAGCCTCCATTTCCTAGAATCCACAGAAGTTCTGACTGTCAGATTTAGGGTTACTGCAGTGATAGATTACAGCTTGTTCTGCACGCCAAATGGACTCAGCTTCATACCAGCAATCGCTTCTAGTCTACGGAAGTTGTAATTCGAAGGAGTTCAAACTAGCCGAGCATTCATAGCTCGAAGGTTCAGGAGCCTTAGCAAAGTTCACAGGGAAGTTAAAGAAAGTTTGACAAAAATCATTCGTCAAAAGAAGCAATAGCTGTACCTGAGGCTGTAGAAAACCGTCACCATCCTCGTCCAATTCGCTCATGTCGATTCGAGCTTGCGTCAACGAAACCTGTCCAACGAATAAGATACAAGCTTAGATGGGGTACAAAGTTGAAAATCGACGTTATAAGGTTAAGAAAATTCATAAACTAACTACATGTACATTTAAGAAATTAATCCTCATGCTAGGCAGACTCTTCATCTGGAAATTAAGAGAGAATTTATCAAGGATATACAGAGTAATGACCTTACGCATGGACGACATCATCTCAAGTTCATACACTAAGGCAAGGCTGAACGAGGAACAACAGCGTGCGTTGTTCTTGTAGACTTCAATGTTATCCAAAGAAAAATGAGTCCCAGGCAAATAAGTTCATTACAAACTTACCGTACGCATGACGTAAAGATAGAAAGGAAGTATAGCAATGCGTCCAAAATCATCCTTCTCGAACTTCAAGAAATTACATGCTGAGAAGAATTTCCTGCACTTAGGTCCAATTTGTTCTGTGCATAAAGTGGCAATATGACAGAAGTCTTCATAATTCATCTGCACCCCAAACTCAATCAGATTGTTAAACTCAATCAGCAGGCTCAACAGAGACCGTACATACGACAAAAAGGAGACAAACATTAACAGTATTTTGGAGACAGGGGGGCCAACTGAAGCCAACCGATACACAAAACGAACCTTCTCGGTACCGCTAGCCTCATCTACACTGCAGTTCTCACGCAACAAAACCCACATGGTATCCAGATCGTCCGCATTCAGGAGGACCTCTGCTTGTTTCTGAAATTCCACAAACACGATTGGGTTAACCCACAAGGTGCAAAATAGTCGATGATAAGTTATCACCTGATTTGTTTCACAATCAAACTCTGAAAAGATAAGCTCTCATCCAAAATGTTCATTGTAAAATCCACACAATATTTCCTCAGCTTAACAAAGACATTAATCTTCGTTGCATCTTCCTTCCATACGAAATACTGATACTTATATAGTAATGAAAAAATGAAGAGCAATGTATTGATACTAGGTCGTCATGTACCTTTAGAAAGCGAAACTTTGCAAGGCGCTGGACCTTCATTCCCGCAGAATTTTCCGAGGGCTTCTGTTGAACATCCGAACCACCATAACAACAAAGAGATCAACGTAAGTCCACTGTCCCCTGCAAATGCTTACTATCACGAGCATTAGTCCAACCTCTAAATCCAAAAGAAAAGAAGCCCTTCGCTGACAGCATTGAGTTGATTCGACCAAATATATAAAACCCATGACGTGCCTTTCTGTAAAAACTGGGAATAGCGCCTGCAGCAGCTGCTTTCTGTTGACGTTCCTTGTAAGCCTCGAGCAAAATTCTCTTCGTCTCCATCTCTACATTAAAAATACATAATAATCAGGAACACAATCATCATTGGAATGAGATTCCTCCTCAACGATTCCGACTGAACTAAATTGCAAGGATACCCTTCAATCAGGCTGAAACCTTCTGCACAGCTACATCTCCTTTCAAACTTATTTGAATACATTAATACCGAAACAAACTCAGCTTAAGAAAGCTAAATATTAGACGATCAAGGCAATGTCCACTAACCCAGAATCACATAATCAGTGTTACATTCCTATCACGATAACCCTCATTGATCTCATTCCAAGACACCCCAACCTGTTACGGCCTCCGATCCAAGCCCTTCGCCCGAGCCAACATACTTCCGCAGCTGCTCAACCCAGAGCATTGACGACGGGGGTGGCCCCTTCGGCGCAACGGCCTCCTTAGTTCCCTCATTCGCGTCCATGGCCCCTCGTTACAAAAGAAAACTATCACGACCAAATACAATACCCTTCTCTGGGAAACTTCCTTCCAAACGTTCTACAACAGCATAACTCGAAAACGAAAACCATCAATGCCGCCTGTGAGCGCAATGAACGAATCCCACTGGCGACTCCATCCTCGCCGAGAGCTACATAGGATGCTAGCAATAAGCCACGATGCAAAGATCCGGGATAACGATCTTGCTGTGAAGCTGAGTCGGCCGGTCCTCGGCGGAAAGTAGCAAAACCCTAAGGAGGGGCACGAATCCAAAACCAGAGCAACTGCGTCCAGTGTCAGATTCTGACACTGTTGCAAATAAACCTTTGAAGATGGAGCTCTCGTCGACATGTTCCCTCCAACTTTAATTCCCCCCAACACACATCTCCCAATGTTCTCTTCCGTTTTCTATAAATAAGCACAGTCATGATCATGTGGCATGGTAAAAAACAAGCTTCAGCTTAACAGATGGATGCACAATTAATCAACATCTGCATTAAAACAACCCTGGATTCCACCAAATTCCGATTTCTCAGATTACTGAAAATAATTTCACGAAGTGTTCGGGAAAATCCACCCACTACAATATATTACCCAACAATACCAAAAAAAAATGGAAAGAAAAAAGGGACCAATGATTCCTTAGTTTTGTATTCTAAAACCAGCCCATAAATAATTTACCGCGGATCTACTCACTTGGTAATTTGATTGCCACCCATTAACCTCTGCAGGGAAGCTTACTCAATATCACTTCTGCACTATTTGCACAGAAAAGTGAAGTTGTCGTCTCTCACTTTCCGGCCTCGCAAGCAGACACGCTGTAAAGTGCTAAAGAGGTGGATTGAGGCAGAGCCCCACTAGCAGCAGAGGAACTCACAGGAGCTCCACTCCTTCATCTCTCTGCCACCCACAAGACCTCTCTGCGTCGATTTCTGTGTGTGTGCTTCGTTGCGTGTCCTCGCTGTTTCTCTTCAACCCTAATCGTGTCTGGAACAGAAAGATTCGTTGCTGGTGTGGCCTGGTGTGCCCAAGTGTTAGTCAGGTAGGGGCGGACCTGGAATTTTGGCGCTCTGTCGCTGGAGTGTTTACTTTCATGGCGGTTTGTTGGACGGTGCTGTTTCTGGAGAAGTGAAGGTGGGAGTTAGGGTTGGAAATTTTGCTTAGGAACTATTTGTCTATGAAATCGGTAGCGAGGGTTTGCTTTGTAATTTGGTAGCCTTGATTGTGAACGGGTTTAGGAATTTCGTAGTGACAGTTCGATTGAGTCGGTTACCCAGTGGTGTTGATTTTCCAGTTGTGTACCGGTATTGGTAACAGGGAGTGACGTTGTTGCGACGAGAGTTTGTTGGGTTTTCTTTGGGACGAAGATTCCATGGACAGGGAGAGAGGAGATAAAGCTCCACCAGTGGACAGGCGAGTGTCTTCCATCTTCAACAATGTGTCGAGACAAGTGCAGTTCCTTCTTGATCACAACCGCTTGCTCATCAATGAAATAAACCAGAACCACGAAGCCAAGATTCCTGAGGGCCTGACCCGGAATGTGATGCTCATTCGGCAACTCAACAGCAACATCGGTAAAGTGGTGGATCTGTACGCGAATTTGTCGTCGAATTTCTCGAATGTGTTCGAAAATCTCCAAGAGGTCAACTCCGACCCAATCAATACGACGTCAAGGCCTGTCTCGAATTCCAGCGGCCGCAGCGTGCCAGGGGTCGCTGCTACACAATCGTCAGGACAAAATCCGCATAAGAAACTGCGGTCCACGGACTTTCCTTGATCCCTTTGCGGAGTATGTACAGTGCGAGACGAAGTGTCCTGGTTATCGGTTGCACCTCTCGCTGTTTAGATGCCGAGATTTGAGTGTTATCTCTTGTTCTTTTTCTTTTTCTTTTTACATACTTGTGGCTATACATTGTTAGGCTAAGCTTAGAATCCACATTTGCCTAATCCGTGTTTCTTTTAATTATTTTTCCTTCTTTGGTCATGCTCCTAGGACAATTTCCTGCTGCAATGCTACTCAGATACATTTCAGAATACAAGAGAGATTGTTGTAGTGGGAGTATAAGAAGGCAACTATAGCTCTTGCTTCATGCTAAGCATTATTGTTTTGCGTTTTCGTAACACTACTTTTCACAGTACGAGGCAGATGCAGTCAGTCTATGAATTTCAATTTAATGCAAGTATGTTGGAAAGGTTCACGATGAACATACACTTCGATGAATTGCACTATCATTGTATATCTTCTACCTTTGATCTTTCCAATTTGTGCTATAACATGCTATTGTCATTAATATATATTGTGGAACTTTTTTAAGCTTTTTGGCTTGACTCAACTATGCATAGACCGTAGTTGTAAGTTGTTTGTAAGGTTATGGGAGAGCGGTATGGGTCTTGGAACGAAGGATTGTCTTCAGGTTCTTTTGTGAATATCTTTGCTGTCTATTAGCTGTGAAAGCAGTAGTGTTTCGGAAGTACTATAAGAAGGCAGAGGGTGAGCAATTCCTAGAGGTTTTAGGGCGCCAGTTCAACGTAGTTACAGGTTTCGCAATTCTCTTGTGTTGCATTCAAACTGGGTGTCGCTAAATTTATATGGCTGCACAGTATGATCAGGTTTATTTCAGCTGAGAGTCTTTTCTGTCATCACACATGCCTTGACAGCACTGCAAGCGCAAAGCGTTGTCTATGGATGATGTTCATTGAAACGTCAAAGGGAAAATGCGCAGTTGTTTATTCGTTCGACCACTTAAGTTGCCATCTGTGCCAATCTGTATGTGATGTTTTAGAATACCGTAATGTCCACGAGTTCTGTTTTGTTGAAATCCAGACGGACTACAGTTTCTATGATTGGCAATGGGGTTAATTCGACCAAATTGTTTGAACAATCTGCACCTTGTGATGCGATTGTAGGTGAACGCTGTCATTGTGACAATTCACCAGTTAATTACATAAATTTATACGTGCAATTCAGCGCCACACAAATTCATGACATAAAAAAAGCATAGTCAGATTATATCAACTCACGAATACAAGAATCTCGGCATTCATCAATCTTGCAACACATCTCCAGTTACAAGTTAAGTCAAGAGCTTGGGTTTGATGCCAGATGTTTGATTGATGAGAATCAGTGCTTGCACCCTCGTTGCAATCCTTGCATAGCAGTATGCTGTCGTTGCAACAACTCCTGAGTCTGTGTCTATGCATCTGTGCAGGCATGGTGAGTACAGGCACAGTCCAGGTACCATCCTGTCAAGGCTGATGAATTCCCATGGCAAATTTGTTGCAGAGATTTAGTGTGTAGGGACTGGATTGGAGTTCTGCACAATTATTTGTTTGGAAACCACTTTAACAAAAGGAAATATTAAATCCACCCACTTTATACTTAAATCAACCCAACTGTTTCCATTCTACTCCTCCTGCATGCATTATATAGGGCTTTGCACTTTCTCAATTTTGCACTAAGTGATGTGTTGGGAACTCCTTTGCAAGAGAGGTCGAGAATGGAAATAACGCAAGATTGATAATTTTAAAAGTGGGTGAGATTAGATTAGATTAGAGAGAAGTTTGTGACATTGCAGAGAAGTTGGTGAATTATGAAGAAGGATGGATAGGAAAGATATGGCTAGAATTCTAAGAATGTCAAATGATGAAAATGAATAATGCCTGGAGACAACAATTGTATTTTACTGAAAGTGGTTTGATTTAAAATTTAGGTGGGTTGATTTAATATTCTGCTTGTTAAATTGCTTGTCTTTTGCGTGGATAGTTCTGTCCATACAAAGAGAGACAGTAAGACCCGTAGTTTTCTTGCATATCCTTTATTTCCAGCACATAAGTTACACGTGCGTTGGAATTCACGTTTACAGAAAGGAGAGGCTCCAGGTTACTTCGCTGTTATTTTTTCATTTTCTTTTTTCTTTTATTATTGCAAAAAATCCTTTCTTTTGTGTTCTAGAGAAATAATAAATGATTTTATACATATTGGTGAGGTTAAGATATCTTTCTTTTTTTGCAAAAATAATGAACATCAAATAATTATATTGATATTTTTTGTGGACAAGAGTACAAATCTTTCAAAAAGATAGTTTTGTTTGCAAAAGCGGATTTTTCAATATGATTATCTATGATCATTTTTTAATGCATAAAAATACATTATTAATTTTTTTTACCACATGTAAATGTAATTTATTACTTTATTTTGTTGTGTTGAATTTCTTTCAGTTTTTTAATTTGATTTAATGATATGTACTATGAACGTGAATTCAAGATCATTGCTACTTGTTTGTGATAAATTTTACACAATAGAAGATGGTATTAGAATATCACTTTAGGTAGTAATTTAATTAGTGAAAAATAAGATCATATAATCATTTTAAAGTTATTCAACATTAAAGATAAAATATATTAATATGTTTAAACTATAATGCTTGATGTCTTGATTTCTTTTGTAATTATTAAAAATATTGTTATAATATTTACCATCAAAATTTTAGAATTGGATTTTTATATCACAATAAAAATTATACATTCCTAGTACAAAAAACAGACTTATATTTTATGCACCATCTATTTTAATATGATATTTTATGTTTTGTTTTTTGTTGTTTGAATGTATAGTTTTTAAATTCCAAAGATACAAAGGATTAGCTAAATTCGTAACTTGGCAAGCATGGTAATTGTGGAGACATTGGGCATTACAAGAAAGCATGTTGTAAGAAGCCTACAAATGATGCCAATGCTGTGGTAAGAAAACCATAGAGTGTTTGTAAGTTATAATAGAGGTTGGTAGGAAATTGTATTTTTAGGCGGAGACCACAAGGTGTTGGGTAATAATAGTAAAAAATGTGGGTGGAAATAACAAGATTTTAGAAAATATATGAATGAAGTAAGGTGTTTTGAATTTAATCTTTTTAGTGTAAATCATGGATTGTGAAAAATTTCTATGATAACAAATATTTTAATTTATCTTGGTAGCATCTAAATACAACTTAATAAATCAAAAAATTAACAATGCAATATAAATTTAAAATATGTATAAAGTAATCTATTATAAACTCAAAAAACGGAGGTTATTTATATTTAAATTTTGAAATTTTGAAATTTTGAAACAGAGGTTCTTTTTTCTTTTTAATTTTACATTTTTTTATCTTGCACTATTTCATTTTAAAACTAATAAATTAAATATTATTTAAATAGTTATGTTTTTTTATTTCACTTTATCTTCTTAAAATTTTTAATGCCATATATGTTACGTATGTACCAATTTTTTTTGAACTTAGAAATTAAAATTAAAATTAAAATTAAATATCAACCATTGAACTTTCAAATTTTGAATTTGACTAATAAAATGTAACATTGTTTATAGAGAATTTTTATGCTAAAGATTATGTATATATATATATATATATATATATATATATACATACATACATACATACATACACAACTATATTATACATATTGCACATTATAAAATTATAAAATTTATTTAACCAATGATTACTAAACTCTTTAATGAATACGATATAATATTCATATAGCAAAATATATTTTAAACTAGAAATAATTTATGTTGTGTCAAATAAATTTTATTATTTAACATAGTATATTTTTATAAATCAAGCAGAAAATTAGTTAAAACTTAAAAAGAAAAAAAATATTCACATTTAAATAAAACTAACATTTTTCTTTAGTTGTTTATTGTTGTTTCCTTTGTTTCCTTTGAAGGTGGTGTGACTTCTGTATCCTTTGATCACAAGTTTAATAAAGCATAATTCCCATTTTAAATTTAATGAACTAAATTTAATGTAAACCATAGTATTTTTCAATAGAAGGTGGGTTTATGCTATAATATAACATCAAGGTGTGGTGGTAACAATTGTATAACATATCATTGTAGAAGTATTGTTATTAATTTGCATTCCATCTATTCTTATAGACCCACAAAACAACAATCTGTAACTTGGGTTATATATATATATATATATTACTCTTTATGGTTTATATTTTTTTAATATAACATTGCATTTAACGTATGATTACATGTTGTTTTTAAGCATTACTTATTTAATTGATCTTAGTAGGACCATAGATAAAAAAAAAATGTATTAAAAAAAGGATATATATTTTTTTTCCCTCCTTTATCATTAATAATAACAAAAAGGTAGAAAATGATGGGAATTATACATCATCCATGAGAGCACATGCATCCATCACAAATGTTGGAAAGGCAAAGTCTACACAAAAAAACAAACAAGACATTGAAAATGTGCATTAAATGAGTTGAAGGAAACCAACAAAGACTTGTCTCTATCCACTCCCATGCAAATAAAAAGCCAAGTTGTAACATCTCTCTCTCTCTCTCTTTTGAAGATTATGAAGTTAGATTGCATCCATTCACTATGTGGCACCGACCTTGTGTCCCATCCCATCTTTTGAACATGCATGATGGAAAAAAGAATAGAAAACACTATCCACCAAATCCAAAACCAAAAAAATATAAAATAAAATAAAAAAATAAACATGCAAGAAAGAGTTTTGTCACTTTTGGATATTATATCACATTCCAAGAAAATTCCTAATCCCAAAACTTAAAAAAGGCAACATCAAAGCGCCATACAAAATAATTTTCTACAAAAAGAAGAAAATGTGAACTTAGACTCAGTCACTCGCACACAAGTTTGTAAAGGGGGGAGAAGAGGAGTTGTACACGCTATAAAGTGTGTGACCCCATTTATTTATCTTATTAATACTATTATAGTTTTGTTTTTCTTTCATTATAATTTTTGTGGGTGTGTGTGGGGGTTGAAGGGGAAAAGGGGCCTTAGAGAAGACATGGAGGGGAATGCTTGACAAGCCATTGTCATGTGGAGGAATTCCATGCTTGTTTGGTTTTCAACCATTCGCTACACTTCCCAATAAGATCTCTTTTTATTTGCGGTTGATGTGGAGCACCCACTCCCAGCCATGCATTCATTCTAGGGTTTGTGGGTTGTTAGGGTTTCTAGGGCTTCATTATCTGCAGATCTTATTTCATTTGTTGTAGACATTGCTTTTCTATTAAAAATCCTCTTCACATGCAGTGTTAGATTTTTTTTTTTTTTTTTTTTTTTTTTTTTCTTCCAGGGGCTCATCCCCAATTGCACATCACACTTTTTGGACTGCCTTGCCTGGTTTTGTCCATTTATTATCATTGTTAAGACCCCTAATTCCTTTGGCCGAATTGATTAATTAATTGTGTGTAAATGTGTAGAAAGAAGGAATTT